CATAAAGATGACAGCGGAGAAAAGCAACATTTGAACAAATCAATATGCCAAGCAGACCGTGTGGCACACAATAGCCGCATAGCCAAGAATGCAAACGAACGGACAGACATGGCATGCACAATAGTTGGTCTCACAGCGGCAAGTTCATTTTGGGGAAAAATGAATTTGAAATGATGCAGAGGATTTTCCTGCATGCCAAAGCAAAGAACCAAAACAATTGGTGAAATCTGACGACAGCTTACTGCAATGGTAGTGGAGGGGCAGCAGATTAAAAGAGTCGCGCTTTGATGGAAAAGGATTATGTTCAGCGGCTGACGATAAGCTTTTCCCACGCTTCCATTCATTTCATTGTTTACTCATTTTATCAAGTTCAATGTAATTGTTTACTCGTTTTAATGCTGTTTATATGCTTTATGACCCCAACTGCTGTTAATGGGGCTTGCGCTTATGCATGCGTGTGGAAAGAAGTCTCAGATAAGGCTTACCCCTTGCGTGCTATGCATAGGCATCTACTCAGCTGTCATTTGCGTTTACTTACTGCCTATATTGCCATGCGAGTATTATCATCATTAATTTTTATTTATTTGACTTCAGCAGTATGACTACATAGAACAAAAAAAACAACATAGAACATAAAAACGTTAACTACGGCTGCACCGAAACTAAAATACCCTTCGCAAATAAAAAAGTTTCAATATAAGAACTTGATCGTTCAGTTCGTATGGCAGTTATATGTTATAGTGGGCCATCGAAATCGACTTAGTTCGTCACGCTGATCACTTATAAACTATAAAATATACAAGTACATATGTACATATTTTATATAGAATCTCCGAATGGTTCTTCTGGGTGTTACAAATTCGTGGCAAATCTTATATACCCTGTTCAGGGTATAAAAATATTATTAATGTATTAATTTTTATATACACTTGCATAAAATCTCCTACTGAGGGCCATTGATCTACTGAGCATTATATAGAAATTAACGATAACTTCGACTTCCTTAAACACACACAGGCATAAGTATACATACATACAAACATAGATACACACACCCTCCTCCCTTTATACTGAATTTTACGAGTGTCTACTTTCTTATTAATGCATTTCATATTATCTACACTTGTGAGGCAACATAAATTATTATAAACAAAAATTATGAACACGAAAGAACAAAAAAAAAGTGGAAAAGAAATAAAATAAGTTCCGATTACACAATTATTTTTCCACAGTACAGCCCATTGAAAATCCACTTATGCGTGTACAATCATATGTCCGCGTATATGGCGGAAGATTCGACTAGACGCATGCGTCACCGTGCGTGTACTCATAGGCGTATGCGCATATGTGCTTTCTGCATTCACTTCCTATATTTTCTCAACACATCAACCGACGAAAATGTAATTAAATTTTTATGTTACGCCGGCATCTTGAACATCGATTTACACAGTTCATGCAGCACGTGGCTACGCATTATGTGTCCGTGACATTTCGCCTCACAATGCATAACATATGGTCGTATGAAAGCTTGAAAGTCACCGCGGTTGGCGCGAGTGCAATGATAATGAAAGAAACGAATCAATATTCATACGGAAAAGGAGTACAATTGTGATTGACATGGCGCGTTAAAGTGGCGTAGGAAATCGCTAACCGTTATTGAACTACAAAACGTCACCATCGATTTGGGGCACGTCTACAGCAGTTATGTTTTATGTTTATGTACACACATAAATGGTATTTTTAATTCAAGTTTTAATTACTTTGAACATTTTTTTATTGTAAAAAAAGTATGAATTAATATTAATATATTTTTCAGTGCATGATTCCAATTCTAAAATTTAATTTACATTTTTGGGCGTTTATATCATGTATATCATGAACGATCGACATAATGTGTTCGTGCATTTGATAGGTTATTTCCTGCAAGCACCCCTTAAGAACTTTAATAGAAATATGTTTACAATTCTTCTAGCATTATTGACTGATTCAAGAACTACTGCAAAAAGCATTAGTTCATTTGTTAAATTTTTTTATAGCTTTTTTTAACTACAAGTAAGTTACTTTAAACTATCAAAAATTTTGATATTACTATTAAGAGATTGTGTGAAAATCTAATATATAATTTTGCAGATATTTATTAGTTAAAATCAGATAAAAAGTTTACTTCGGTTGCACCGAAGCTAGAATACCCTTCACAAATAAAGAAGAGTCCATACAAAAATTTGAATTTGTTTGTTCAGTTTGTATAGCAGCTAAATGCTATAGTGGTCCGAAAAATTGTGGAGGAAAAATTTCTTCGAATATTGTAGCGTTGCCCTGGACAATAATCCATGCCGAATCAAAAGTTTTTGCATAAAATGACTTGATTTTGAACGGTCCGTTTATATGGCAGTTATCTCCTATAGTAATTCCGACAACTAAGTTGATTTTTGGGGAGAAAAGGAAGTGTGCAAAATTTCAGTTCGATAGCTCAAGAACTGAGGAACTTGTTTGCGTATATACAGATAGACGGACAAACAAACGGGCATGTCTAAATCGATTCAACTCATCACGATATTCATTTATATATACTTTTTATATGGTCTCCGACGTTTTCTTCTGGGTATTACAAAATCGGAGCAAACATAATAAATCTTGTCCAGGATATAAAAGTAGTTAAGTAGGAAAATTTTATATAATATAAATTTTTGTTAAAAGTTTTGATTTTTCCATTTGTTGTAGAAAAAAAAACTGTTTCCTAGTGTATTAATAGTTAGTGTGTCTAGTTAGTCTAAAGTTCTCAAAACTACAAAAATAATTTGCATTTGATGCACTTTTCTTTATATAAGATCAGATTTCGTTGATAGGTGCAATTATTTCTGCGCTAAAATTTTTCGATCGGTATCGGTTCATATGTTAATTATTATATTTTCATACTTTTCATACATTCCTCACAACGAAAATGTACATTTAAGTTATTTGGTTTTTTGAAAATCAATTCGGGATGAGGCTGAGGTTTCAAAATATAGAATAGCCATATTAATATTAATCCCAAGTCTGCAACCAGTTTTGAAGTTTATCTTACTTGTTCTCTAATACAGCTGACTTTGGAATACCTATGGTTAAGGTAAGGGTAAGAGTATGGTAAATGAGATCTAAAAAAGTTCAACTAATCTTATGCTTAAATGAGATTATAGTTCGCGCCGTCTCTGAAGAGAGTCGCGAAAACTTCTAAACTGAACGAAACTGCAGCTAACCATGCTGGTAGAAGTAATTACGCCATGTTTTTGTGTAATTTCAGTAACTAAATTCGTATTGTAAATATTAGGACTCTAACTTATTTGCCGTAAGAAAAACAATATTGTCGAATCATTGTTATCAAGTTCTCAAAATACTGTCCAGTTTTTAGGAAAATGAAATTCAAGTAAATATTTCTTAAAAACGCCAAATGTATTACGGTATCAAAACCGACTTCGTATTTTCGAAGATACAGTATGATGATATTGGGATTGCTCTTACCAACTTGAGTGCTCCTAGTTGTTACTTTTATTAAAGAAATCACAATTTTTGCTTTTATATTTTTTGTTTATCTTTATTTATCTAATTCCAAAATTTTAAAAACTATTTGCAGAAATTATATTAAAAAATCAAATGTTTAAAGTAACAAAAAAAAATAGTATTTTTACAACAAATTTTCAATTAACAAAATTACTTCTCCATTAAAAATTTTCATAGACCATTTGGTAATTAATTTGAGTTAAAAATATAATTGTCTACGTTTCTAATAAATCGAAAGCCTTTTCAATGCAGATTAAATATTCAGCTAGTGAGTAATTAAAACACAATTTCCTCACAACGATCCGAAGATGATTGAGTTGATTGCAAATACATATGAGTATAAACACGCATATTATATACATTCATTTTACGAATAGATAAGCGTGTAACAGGCGACTGGCGGAAAGCCGAAAAATAAGTGGTGAATTCGAAACTCAGTACACGGTACATTTTTCAAATATATTGTAATAAAAATCGTTTGGAAGGTCCTATACAGCATATGTATATGCATTTTTGATAGCCTTTTTATAAAAGCAAATCGGCATCACCTTTTCAGATAAAAAGGAAGTGCTCTTAAAATTAGAATAAAATTTAAAATAAAAAGCAATTGCAAACCAATTTTTGAAATTGCACTTTATTATTGGTGGAACTTGACCTTTTCTTCGCTTCAATACTTGCGACTGTTTTCATTTTAAATGAATGTTGAGCTGTATATGTTAAAATAATACACGATCCTTTGAGATATTAAAAGTTTTGAATAAGTATACATAACCAGAAACCAGTATTTAGACACTAATAGTCACATATGATGTTTTAGAGCTTCAAGAACTTTAGAAGCGGTCATTCTAAATTTACGATATTTTTTGAGTGAAGGACAGTCGTAACAGAATTCAAGATATTATTTTTATCTAGAATTACATACATACATACATACATAAGCATATAGCTACTATTCGTAGTGGGTATAAATTTGTCGATAAATGAAATTGATGTGGAAGCGAGAGATTAAAAGGTGAAAAAACGCAATAAAAAGTCGCTTATGCGCTAGCCTTCAAATCAAATTGTCTCGCTTTAAGAGAAAATACGCTGCAAGTAAACCGTCCAGTTGTTATATTCCTACTTTTAACATTTTAACAACGACCGTGAGGGGAAGTGGCAGATGTCATGTCGAAATAAGTGGCCCACGCGAAGTTGTTCAAATCCGCAGGTAAAGAGGGGCAGAAGAGAGTTTAGAATTGCACACAGCTGGCTATGCAGACCAACTCAGCTGAATCTGCAAGCTGAGTTATTGAACTTGTTTTCGCTGTTGCTGTTATTATTGTTATGGTTGTAGCTGTCTACGCCAATGATGCTAATGCCATCGGCAAACTTATTGATATGTTGTTACTAAACCGGTGTTGTTGTTATTGCTACACATATGTACATACATATGTATATAATACGTTTTAATAGTCAGTACTCACTTGCCAGCGCCAGAACGGCGATTGTGATGAACAGTGGCAAAGCTTTGCGATGATTGCTGCCACTGCTGTTGCCATTGCGATAACAGGTTAACCTGTCGCAACGTCTTTGTTTATGGCAGCTGCAATTGCCGTTGGTGCCATTCATGTCTGCTACCATACCGTGTTTGTTGTTGGTGATGAGGCACTCAGCAGCGGTGTCTTGTTGTTGTTGCGCGAGATCGCAGCGCACTTGTTTCCACCATGTCATGTTGCCGTCGTTGTTTGCTCTTGTTGCTTTTGTTGTGGCAGTTGAATTTCTGGCTTGCTTTCTGCTTCGTGTTGAACGTTTTTGTTGTTGTTGCCGTCGTCGTCGATTCTGCGGTTGTTATTATTGCCGGTATTGATTGTATTTTGTGTGTTTGGCAGCGCCACTTGGTCAATAAAGTCTTGTTTCTCCCGGCTATACACACAACTATACATATATGAACGATTATTTATCGAGTTCGATCGTATGCTGCTAAGTGATGATCGTATGAATGCTGAAGATGCCACAGCTTCGAGTAGTGCAGACGACACTGCAACCGATGCAGACAAGTAAAGCCTGCCTTACAAATGAATGGAGCAAAACGTTGAAATCGTCAATGACGGCGGTGTCAATACTTCTAGTATGAATAGAAAAGCACGATCAGCAAATCGCCAATTACTCTTCCTAATCGCTCTTAACACATTTGCTATTAGTGCAACTTCGACTGCAGCGACACTTGCAGCACGATTTCACGCGAATCACACAAATGTACAAATTCCACTAGAAGAATTCTTCGAAAGCGAAACACCTGATCACGTAGACCTTAAGTATTCAAGCCATATATGTATGCCCACAAGCAGCTTGAATACGTCACTTTTACGCACTTTACTTTTAATAAACTCTTTTTGACTTCTTGTTTGTCGTAATATTACCTTTGTTACTTTCTTCAAATTTTTCGTGTGTGTCTTCTTTTCACTGAATTATGGTTTGAAACACTGCCGAAGCTGTCATCGCCTCACCAAAAAGTCAAACTGTTCGCGCCCAATACACGTGAAGAACTGAAACCGAAACTGATTTTGAGAACAGAAATCAACTTTTCCTCAACATTGAGAACCACTACATGTGCACATACTCAACGTCAGCGGCCAGCATAAAACGCAGCAATAATACGTCCGTCCCACCATTTCGCTGCAATCTTCAGCCTTCAGTCGGGGAACCGACCATGTGCACTGTGTGCTCACAGATATCCATACAAGCAGAGAAGCATACTTCAATGTGTGTGTGTATGTGTGTATGTGTATCTTCATCAATATGTGAATATGCCTGTGCCCATAAGTATGGATATTCATTGGCATTGTCTTCATTTATTTTTTGTTTTTTTGTCCTCGATCTTCAGCGATCGTCGTCGTCGCTGCCGCTGCCGCTTATGGTTCAATCGGCTTGAGTCGGCTCGCCTGTGTGGGCTGTCGGTTTCGTGCGTCGTGCGGCTATGTTTTGCTTTCTTCTCAATCCCGTAGCGAAGTAGAAAGACGTGCTCTTGGTCACACTCCTTCTTTCTGGATGTCTAAATACATACAAACGGGTATTTACATTATGTTTGTATGTGCAGAGTCAATACATTAATGTGCGGTTATTTGGGTAGCTGCAATGTGCATTTTATATTTACAAGTATTTTAGATCACATTAGGCTGTATCGATTTTTGGGAACTAATCAACTTACATACATACTTATGTGTCTGAAAACATCGCCAAGAACGAATGCTGTTGAGAAAATTTGTGAATACTTAAATAATGAAAGATGCAAATAAAAAATAAAATTCGTAGAGCCATATAATTTTTCTAGGGTATATTAAATAATTTCACGTAATTTCATTCTTATAAAAGACGATCCACCCTAATACAGGGGCATACATTGGTGCATATGAAGGCATGCACATCGGTGGAATGCATATCCATCATCGCTTCTGGGTCTGAGGCTACTTAAATGGCATAGTTGTTGCTTTCTAGTGTTGAAGAAAAGGCAGCAGAAATCACACAAGTTAATAAATGTTGACGATACTATAAAATGACGATTTGAAAGACCACAGTTGTTATTGTTGATTTTATTAAATTTAGTTGTTAAAAAAAGGAGTTTCAATACTGTTGTTTAGAGCTATTATCTGCGTCATCGGAATTTAACTAGCGATGATTTTCGAATAATACTTAAAAAAATCTGCATAAAAAGCAACAATTTCATGAAATGAAAAAAAAAAATTAAAGAAATTTTTGTCATAATTAATACTTGCATCAAATCCACACAAAGGTTTAATTTATAATATTCCCATACAAAAGTATGTACATTGTGTACTAACAATTTACTTTGGCTGTATCCACTCATAGAATAGTATTTGAAATATACACATACACATGAAAATATGTAGCTATGTATGATATGTATACATATAAGCATACCTATTCCGTATGCATTAGCGTTAAATTTGCTACCAACATAGAATTCTTCGGATGCCGATTGCTGCTACCTTCTTGTCTTACTAGTAGGTAGACAATTTGCTCGGGGCTCTACTCTATGAAAACAATGTTTTTGGCTCACCTTGACAAGAAGAGAGTAGAGAGAGGACACACATATTTTGGAGTCTTTACCATTCCGTGCACACACACAGGCAAATATGTGAAAAAAATAAGTGTATATGTATATGTATGTAGTTCCATATTCGAGTATTACTAGCCCAGGGGGTTCCAACTTCTATGGAAATTCGTGTGGCATAAGATTGGACTCAAGTGTTGGACACGTTTTATTAGTGTTTGTTTGAATAATTGGCAACAACAAAAATAATTGATATGCTGCCTGTTGGTTTCTTGGTTTGCCGGTTCGCCGGCATATCAAGCGCGTTTGGTAGGTATGAGCAGCATACATACATACTTATGTACCTGTATGTATGTATGAAGTGGGTGATCGTGTGTAATTTTCATTTAAATTGTCACTGGTGTGATTATAGATGTTAAATTTGTTTATTTATTTTTTGTGTAGCTATTCCACTGTGGATATTACTTCTGTTATTTATATGTGTTTGGTTAGGTGTTATGTGTGTGTTTGTAGTCGGTATTATAGAACAAATTATGCTACGTTGAGTATCAGTGGCAAGGATTAGAAGGCATTTAGAATTTTAACTGTCTGTAGGTGTAATTAGAATATATGTATATACAGGTGATATGTACATTTGTAAGTGTTCAAAAATATTTGTGGAATGTGTTTGCGGGTGTGTGTACCCTGACAAAGTGTCTAAGAAAATTAGCTGTCAGAGACGTCATTGCGGTAATAGTATTTGACATTGAGGAAAAGGAACTCAACGACCACTATGGTATGTAAATTTTATTTGAAATTACTGGTATTGCAAAACAAATATGGATGAAATAACAAACACAATACTAAATCAGTTCCAAGTGAAGGTTCTACAATTTTTCAAAATAATTAACGTTGGTTCGTTAAGGGGTCATATCCACTTACATGCAGCGCTGCAAATAATGTTTTAGAAATATAATTGAATTAACATTTGAATTAAAATTATTATTTTTTGTTCTGTAATCCGAAATACGCGATTAAAAAATGCAAAAATTTTATTAAATAAAAATAAAATTTTAATCCCACATCCCGGATAAATAAATATAAAAAAAGTTTTAGTCCCAAAAACCAAATTTTGTTATTAATTTTTAATCCCAACTACCGGATTGAAAAATAAAAAATTAAAACTTTAATCTCAAGCATAATTAAGAATTTAGAAAAGAATTTGTGTTAGAACTAAATTTTTTTCGCATTAATTCAAACCAAAAAATAAAATTTTTAATTTTTAATCTCAAATATTTTAGTTAAAAAAATTAAAATTTAATTTTAATCCTAACATCGGATTAAAAATAAATTTTAAAATTAAAAAATTAAAATTAAAAAATATTTAAATTTTATTTTTATTTCAAAATGTTTGAATTTAAAACTCCTCAACCCTGCTTACAATTCAGAAAATACCCTTTTTCGGAATTCTCTTAGAAGAGGGGCATTTAATTTAATAAATAAATATAAATGTGTGGCGATGAGGAAGATTTTTCTGCTTTAAATTATCTAAAATCCAAAAAACCAAAAAAAATATTGTTACTTTAGATAAATAAAGGAGAGCTGGACAAAGTGACTTGGCAAATATATTTGAGAAGCTCGTGTGAAAACATAAAGTCGATCGGTTCAGCTATTTTGTAGAAATTATTCTCGTTGATTCTGAGAAAAGAAAGTTTAAAGTTTTGGATTACACTAACTTAAAAAAATTTTCCGCTCATATCTCCGAAACTATTTTCTGAATCAACTTTCAAACTTTCGGAAAATATTTTTAAATATATGTACATAGTATATGCAAAAACAGAAATAGATTTTTTGAAATTCTCAAGGCGCCTTAAATATAAGTAAGTTAGCGCCACTGAATTATTAAAATTTACTCAGAACAGACAGGGAAACCCAAGAAAAACGATAAATTCAAATTCGTTTATGTGTAAAATTCGTTTAATTCAGAAAACTTAAGACCTATTCGGAGTTGATTTGAAATTTGTAAGACCCCCTATGTAAGGGATACTCTCGAGACAGATGTAATTCGACATTATTAAAGAGTTGAAAGTGATAAAGTTTTAAGGAATTTATCCATGGTTTCTAAAAAAACAATACTCTTTTTGCGCCTTCTTTTGTGAAAGAGGCACTTATTTTAAATTATTTTTTAGCAAGTTTTAAAACCATACTTATTTTACTTATAAGGAAAAATATATTCGAGGAGTGATGTATAGTACCTATTTAGTTCGCATAAAAACCCGACCTTTTCCAGCCTTCGAGCGATGCACTTGTCGAGTTGAATGATGGGGGGTCATTAACATTCTTTCTGAAACGTTACGCCGTTGTTGGGTGCTCGTTTGTTCATTGAAGATCTGCCGCAACATTTTGTCACCGCGAAAAAACTGTTAAAAGATAACGAAAATTCCATACGCTTTGGAAAAAGCACAATCACTTGCTAAATCATTATGTAAAAATGCACTCGATACGCCATGGTACATACCCTGTAGAACAAAATTTAAAGAAGATATTAATATTTTTTTTTTGGTTTTTTTAGATAGTTATCGTATTCTTACAATAGTGGTGATTATGGTTCAAGACAATTTTTGTTTATTTGAAAGAGAAAATATTCACATTACATACACAGTCAGTCATAAGGATACTCCTTTAACCTCACAGTAGTGCATTTTATTAAATCCATTAAAGATGGATACAGTGAAATTTTCTGGCTGTATGCCATTAATGATAGTAAGGGAGTAGAAGTAGTATAATGACATCACAATTTGTCAAATTGACATAAATTAAGAGACGAAATATAGATTGTCGCATAAGAAAGTTGGTTCAAGTTCAAGTTTTCAATATTCATAATCATTTATTGCGTCTCTGTTATCCTTCCCATTGACTTAAAATTACAACTCCTTCATCATTTCTAAAGAGGACTAGTTCAATGATGACACCACTTCAAAAATTGTTTCTTGAAAACCACATATTACTATCGTACCAACACTTGATGGTCTGTATTTTCCTATAGGCTATGTATTATTAGTTAATCATACATACATACTTACATATGTATTTAACCAAAAAAATGCATGTTTATCTTTCTTTATACAAATTTTTGTATGCGGATATGGGTTTTATCGGTTATTGCAACCGCAGTTTGTCGCATCGTCGGCATTTAATCAGCAAATATGCATTTTCTACCAAATTTCGCCTTAAGCTTCCGTGCGATCTTTCGTACGCTTCCGATGATAAACTTTTTTCGTGACAACGCGCTAGTCTGTAATTCGCCGCTTCCGAACCGTTAATCATTTCTACGACAAGTGCCTGTGGTAATTTTCGATTGTGTCGCTAGGGTCCTGCACGTAGACACATCTCCATATATGTATGTATACGTAGTTATGTAAGAATACGCATTTATGTGTTTTATGTATTGATATGTGTGCATTTCTTTATGCAGCCGCATGAAATTTCGAAATTAATATGCACACATTCATTTTATGTGGTTTTATGGATAACCAGTCGGTTAATTCTAAAGTCTATAACTGTGAGAAAGTGTGTGTGTGCATTTATACAAGTAGATTGTACTTTATGCATTTATTAAAAAATTTTATGAGTATTTAATGTTTTTTCTCGACTTATTCTTTGTAAACCACCAAAAAAGGAGACATAT